TTGCAGATGTGGTCGCGTTAGTCTGTGTTTCAGAATCAGATTCGCTTGGAAAGTCTGAGTAGTCGACTGCTTCTCTTCTTGTAGTAATTGGTTTTGGTAGTAGGTGTGCTGCTGGTGTAACAGTTTTGTTTATTGCTGGGTTGGTAGATGTGCTTCTGTTGTGCGCCATTGTTGGTAGGTTGTATTCCTGATTACTTGTGTTGGGATTATTTCTTACTATTGTTGAGTATGGTTGCTGATTGTGTTGGTGTCTTTCGTTGTAGATGGCTAGCGCACCTTTGTAGTCTTTTTTGAGTGTAGTTTTAATCGCTTGTATTTCTTTTTGTTTGAGGAAGATGGGACATTTTTTGTCAGTGGCGATGTGGTTGGTGGGTTGTTGTAGTTGTCTAATGCAGTTTATGCAAGCCTCCTCGTTTTTGCATTTCTCTTCCATATCGTCGTTCAAGTGATAATTGCTTGCACAATTTGCGCATGTTCTTTCAGCTTTGCAGATTTTTGCTGTATGCCCATACCTTAGACAATTATTGCATTTGAGTGGTAGAGGAATGTAGGGCCAAACGTTGACCTTTTCATAACCGATTCTTATCTCTGATGGTAGATTTGTTGTTTCGAATGTGAGTATTATCAATCCCGTTTCAATGAGTTCGTAGTCGGATTTCTTTAGGATTTTCTTAACTTCAATTACGTTTTGCGTATCTAATTCCGAAAGTATGTAGTCTTCCTGTAGTCCTCTAAGATCGTTGCAGTAAATTACGCCTTTTGAATGGTTTAATGTTTTATGCTGTGTTATTTCTATGGATGTTGTTGTCTAGTGCTATTAGAGTCGTTAATTTGTTAGCCTGTAAGTTATTTTTTGTTTTAATAAGTATTTGTCCATTTTTGGTTTTCTTGCACTCCTCTATTTCACTGCCGCATGTTGCGTCAATTACTTTTTTAATTAAAAACGGTGAAGTATTTGATAGTGTCTGATTACTATTGGTTCTTGACATGATTAGGTAGACGGGTCCGGTATTTTTAAAGTTTGAAGATTTTGTTTTATCCCACTTAAGCATGGGGATATTTGATTTGCCTCGATCGGTCGTCTATCCCCATTTTAAGCGATTGAATGAATGTATTGGGAGATATTATATTTAGTTTTACGCAAGATAACGGATACAATATACATTTCAAAAGAATGTAGACTATCTTCGGCAAATAGCATCGATACTCAGGCACACTTCGGAAAAGACACAATAAAGAAATTAAACGCCATAACTGACGATCACTGCGACTGCTGCTCCCGCTCAGAAGACTTGCCTCATTTTTTATATACATGTCCACAATGGGATTCCATTAGAACAAAATTTCCACCACTTAACAAATTTAATTCCATCCACAAATGTTCAAAAATGAAGGACTATCTTGCCTCAAAACAATAAGTTCGTTCCTTACACAAATCAAAATAAAAATTTTATACAATAACCACCTTCAAACTTCTAAAGATTAACGAATATATAGTCCGAAAGAAGTCCTAGGTAAGTAATAAATATGAGTGTTCAAAAACAAAAAAAATTTTACTCTTAAATAATCTTTTAGGATTCATACATACACTGCCGGAACAAAGTATTGGCACAGCAAATTTTTCACAATATATGCATCAATTTTCATTCTAATATTTTTCCGCTAATTTCGTATAAAAATATAGTTCATTCCACAACAAAAAACATAAAAATATAATTCCTATACTTTGTGCAAAACTCGCGAAATTCAGCAAATTTTCATGAAAAGTTTCAACTTTTTAATCAGATTTTTTAGAATTCTTTTGAGTATGCAGATTTGTAGCCCAATCAATTTTAGTATAAAAATTAAGATTCGACATTTATATCTAAACTTGTTTATACAGAAATTGAAAAAAAATAGGAAGCAAAAAATGAATTTTGTTATTGACTTTGGAATCGATTTTGTTATCGATTTTGTAATCGATTTTTCGATAGATTTTGTAATCGATTTTTTATCGATTTTGTAATCGATTTAGTTAACGATTTTGTTATCGATATTTTTATCGATTTTGTTATCGATTTTATTATCGCTTTTGTTATCGATATTTTTTTCTTAGTTTGTGCTTTCGTTTTTGACTTGGATATGCTCTTAACCATACCACGTATTCTACGTTTAAATTTAGCGGGTGTATCTCCGATACAGCCTGCAGACCAAGGCGAAGGCGCTGGACAGTTCCTTTTTTTATATTGGCACAAGGTGCTCTCTCATAATTTAGATAATATATGTATGAATCCTAAAAGATTCATTTAAGAGTAAAATTTTGTTTGTTTTTGAACCTCATATTTATTACTTACCTAGGACTTCTTTCGGACTCATACATTCGTTAATCTTTAAGGAAGTTTGATGAGTGATATGGGTTATTGTATAAAATTTTTATTTTGATTTGTGTAAGGAACGAACTTATTGTTTTGAGGCAAGATAGTCCTTCATTTTGAACATTTGTGGATGGAATTAAATTTGTTAAGTGGTGGAAATTTTGTTCTAATGGAATCCCATTGTGGACATGTATATAAAAAATGAGGCAAGTCTTCTGAGCGGGAGCAGCAGTCGCAGTGATCGTCAGTTATGGCGTTTAATTTCTTTATTGTGTCTTTTCCGAAGGTGTGACCTGATATCCTGATGATAATTTGCCGAATGAAGTTAATTTTGAAAAAAATGAAGTTGTATGTTATTTTGGGTTAAATAAAAGTAAACTAAATGCTCTTGGAAAGGTTAATTGCTTCCTTATTGTTAATAACACAAAGGTTTATGTAGATCTGATCGTGGTAGAAGATGAGTCAATGAGTTACGACGTTATTTTAGGCAGACACTTCATGAAACTAAGTAAAATGAAAATTGTTTGTGAAGATGAACTAAATGAAATAAAAATTACTTGCAAGGTGGCATATATGGTAGATAATTCAAACGGTCAACAAGAAAACAATATATGTGCAATAAATTGTTTTGAATTACCATCAAAAGATCGAACATATAGTTTAAATGAAGACTTAAGTTTAGAAGTTCGGAAAAAATTTAACGATGTGTTCAACAAATACTACGTTTCGTCAAACCGCCCAAAAGATCCAGATGTCAGATATGAAATCAAATTAAATTTGGAATGTTCAAAGCCCTTCCATTGTCCTCCTAGACGACTATCGTTTGCGGAAAAACGTGTACTTCAGCGAGTCGGAATTTGCATCTCCAATCGTATTAGTAAAGAAAAAGACTGGAGAACTAAAGTTGTGTATAGATTATCGAAAATTGAACAAGGCAACAATAAAAGACAATTACCCGATTCCACTTATCGACGACTTATTAAAAAAGTTAGGGGAAAGCGCATATTCACAAAACTAGAAGTTTTTAATAGACTTGTCGTAAATAAGCTTGAGTTATGGTTAGACAAATGCGAATTTTTTCAATCAAGTATCAAATATTTAGGATATACCATAACCGGCACCGGAATTAGGGCTGATGACAAAGGCCTTCTAGCAGTAAAAAATGTCCCATTACCAGACAAAATACGCGCCGTACAAAGTTTCTCAGGGTTGTGTTCTTATTTCTGTTATTATCTTCGAAATCAATTAACCGTTGAGAAAATAAGGCACCACGTTCGAAAGGTATTTTAAACATCTTTCGTTTGATATACATATTTTGTGAATTCGTATAAGACATTTAGTTCTTTTGCAAAAAACACTTGCACTTTTCGCACTTTCTTTTGATGCATTTCACGCATTTTTATATACAAGACATTTTTATAAAACACCCAGTAACCATAATAGACATCACTGGGGCGGCAGCCCCAGGTTTACCACACAGAAAGGGAATTCTAGTTACCTCATCCTTTCCCATGGTTACATCACTGGGACGGTAGCCCCAGTTGGTGCACACCGACCGGAGAATTCTATTTGGTAAGGGTTATAATCCTAAAGCGCGGCCGAAGGCCGTCTACGCAGAAAGGAATTCTACGCAAAAATACTGTGAACGCAAGTAAAAATTGTGATTTTTGGCCATTTTTCTAAAAGCAAATTTCGATCTTTGACCTTCGATATCTCGCTTAATTTTAATTTCTGCAAGTAAATTTTAGTAACGTTATAATCAGCTCAAAAAGCTCTAGCGACTCCTATTTTTAGTTTTTTTCTAGCTATTTAAAAAAAATTAAAAAACCTAAAAAGGGAAAATTTGGGAAAAAAATCGCGCGATTTTTTATTACAAATTTTCGTCTGCACGCTATTAAATCGCGCAATTTTTTATTAAAAATTTTCGCCTGCGGCGCTATGTGTTTTGTAATAAAACCCAATATTTTATAAAACTTAAAATGTGGACTCAAAAATGCTGCGATATTACTTTTCAACTTTAAATCGTCTGGCAGCACCAACTTCGGTGTTCAGTTGCAACCCTCGCATGTTTACTACTTCACTGCTTTTATAAATGTTTTATCGTAGTTAAATTAACAAAACTAGCATATTACTTAAAAGAAAATGGTCATGTGCATTAAAAGTGCTTACATTTAAGTCACATTTATCTATTTCACGCTCTTTTGGATGATAAAATCGATGCAATTAGCATCAACATATTTGGTGAATTTCGCAACTTTAACAACAAATTACTTAAAAACTATAAGTGGCCGCGGGTTGGGGTCTTCACTTTTCGAATCAAAATAAGGAATTTTTAAGTAAAGCCATTCTAAGAGGCCTACCCAAGAAGGGCTGAAAAAGTCCTTGCATGCCTTCTAGAAGGGCATATCCATTTAAAATTTACGCGAATTACAAATGAGTTCCAATAAACATTTTAAGTTGCAATAACATATATTTAATATAAACCTTAACAAATACTTCAAAGATGTTCGATTTTTATAAATTGAAGAAGCAACTTTAAAAGAACTAAATAAATAAATTAATAAAAGGCCTTCTGAAGTAAGTCCTTCCATGGGTAGCGAAAGAAGCCATTTAATTTGCGCCACTCCACACAAAAAAGAAAAGAGAAAGTAATGTAGGGTGGAAGGCCTCTTGACTCTCAGGAAAGCCTTTCGGAAGTGCTTTTATCTCCTGAGATTATCTACTGGGAGGTTGCCGTGTTTTTGTACTTTGTGTAGATGTAATTATTTTTTGGTGAAATTTGGATTATTGGTATGTACTTAAATCCCAGCAAACATTTTGAGTAATAATTGAGTGTTTAAGGAGTCCTATTTCAGAGAATTTACGCTCATAATGGGCTCATTGAAGAGTCCGATATGAGGGTATTTCCCTTCCTCCGAAGGTCGACTGATATGAGTTTAAATTCATACATCATATGAGCCTAAATATGAGTCTTATTGGATTCTTATTGGCCTCATATACGTCTCATTTTGGACTCTTTTGAAACAGTTTTTGGCCTCATATAAATATGAACCATTTCAGACTCTTTCGAGGCTCTTATCGGCCTCATAAGTTGCTACATTCGGACTTATTTTAGGCTGTTCTTTGAGTCTTATTGAAGGCACTATATTTGCAAAGGAATTCAGCAAAAATTCTTTCAAATAACATACATACATACTTACGTGCATATACACATTCCAACATGCATTTAATAGCAGCAGCTGCAGCTAAATTTTGTTAAATTTTGCTTCCTAATTTTTTTCAATTTCTGTATAAACCATATATGTAATACTCCTATATTGGCAGTAAGAGCTAGTACCGTCCGAAAACACTACAGTACAGATATATCAATAAACACGTACGAAAGAAAAGGAACACATACGTTTATAAATAAACATGTACACGACACATTTACAAAACCGGCACTCAAGTACACAATACATTGACAAAAACAGTACTAGACTGTCTCGCTTTGATTTCGGAATGCTTACACATTGAGATGTTAGCTTACTACCAATATAGAAGTATTACATATATGGTATAAACCAGTTTAGATATAAATGTTGAATCTTAATTTTTTTATATTGGCACAAGGTGCTCTCTCATAATTTAGATAATATATGTATGAATCCTAAAAGATTCATTTAAGAGTAAAATTTTGTTTGTTTTTGAACCTCATATTTATTACTTACCTAGGACTTCTTTCGGACTCATACATTCGTTAATCTTTAAGGAAGTTTGATGAGTGATATGGGTTATTGTATAAAATTTTTATTTTGATTTGTGTAAGGAACGAACTTATTGTTTTGAGGCAAGATAGTCCTTCATTTTGAACATTTGTGGATGGAATTAAATTTGTTAAGTGGTGGAAATTTTGTTCTAATGGAATCCCATTGTGGACATGTATATAAAAAATGAGGCAAGTCTTCTGAGCGGGAGCAGCAGTCGCAGTGATCGTCAGTTATGGCGTTTAATTTCTTTATTGTGTCTTTTCCGAAGGTGTGACCTTACCATCAAAAGATCGAACATATAGTTTAAATGAAGACTTAAGTTTAGAAGTTCGAAAAAAATTTAACGATGTGTTCAACAAATACTCCGTTTCGTCAAACCGCCCAAAAGATCCAGATGTCAGATATGAAATCAAATTAAATTTGGAATGTTCAAAGCCCTTCCATTGTCCTCCTAGACGACTATCGTTTGCGGAAAAACGTGTACTTCAGCGAGTCGGAATTTGCATCTCCAATCGTATTAGTAAAGAAAAAGACTGGAGAACTAAAGTTGTGTATAGATTATCGAAAATTGAACAAGGCAACAATAAAAGACAATTACCCGATTCCACTTATCGACGACTTATTAAAAAAGTTAGGGGAAAGCGCATATTCACAAAACTAGAAGTTTTTAATAGACTTGTCGTAAATAAGCTTGAGTTATGGTTAGACAAATGCGAATTTTTTCAATCAAGTATCAAATATTTAGGATATACCATAACCGGCACCGGAATTAGGGCTGATGACAAAGGCCTTCTAGCAGTAAAAAATGTCCCAATACCAGACAAAATACGCGCCGTACAAAGTTTCTCAGGGTTGTGTTCTTATTTCCGAAGATTTGTTAAAGATTTTCCCACAATTCCAAAACCACTACACGATCTAACTAAAAAAGATAAAACATTCCGATTTGGAGAAGAGGAACCAAAATGTTTCGAAACTCTTAGAATCACCTGTGTTGGCTTTGTATAACCCAAACGACCCCACTGAATTACATTGTGACGCTAGTGCCTTGGGATTCGGCGCGATTCTCATGCAAAAAAAGCATGACAACAAATGGCATCCAGTATTCTACTATTCGAAAAGAACGAGTGAAACGGAATCGAAGTATCACAGCTACGAGTTAGGCCGGTGTTATGCAGAAATTTTGTTTGGCAAACTGCGTGCAATTGTTGTTGCAGCAAACTCGGAGAGAGCGATTTTGGCGACTCTCACAGCAAACAAATTTTTTTTGGTCAAACTGCAGCAAATTCGGTGTTGTCATATACAAAAATTTTAGATAATTGTTGTTATACACAAAAATTGCCGTGATTCCGAAAGCCAGAGAACTGAATTCATGCTGTAAGAGCTCCAAAGATTAGGGCACAGTTAATTGCCTATACGATATCATAAAAATATATTAATTTTGCGCGTTATATACATCTGAAATTTTCATTTCGTGATGGCAATAGCCATGAAAACCATAATGAACGTGCAACCCTGTGCCAAACTCGACATAACCACCTCCGAGCAAACTAAGCAGCCGCCATTTAATTTGGCAAACAAAAGTTTATCTGCATAACACCGACCTTAGAAACTTAAACTATTATATATGCCCTCGAAAGATTTCGCGTTTACCTTAATGGTGTTAAATTTAACATAGTCACCGATTGTAATGCTCTAACTCTTACGTTAAATAAAAAAAAAACTTAACTCCAGAATAGCTAGGTGGGCTTTAGAGCTCCAAAATTATGTCTACGATTTAGAACATAGGCCCGGAAACCGTATGCAACACGTAGATGCCTTGACTAGATGTAATAACACTAGCAATCGAATCTAACACTTTTGAAGAAAATCTGCTCATTTGTCAAGGAAAAATGCTAGATTAAGGGCAACAAAAGAAAAACTTAAAAAAACTGAACATAACTTTTATGAAATGCGTAATGGGGTCCTCTACCGGAAAAAGTCTAACAATTCACTCCTATTTTGCGTTCCTGAAAATATGGAAAAACATGTCTTATACAAATACCACAATGAAATGGGCCATGTTGGAACAGATAAAAGAACAGAATTAATATTAAAAAGCTCAATAGCTTCCCCAATGTAAAAGTCAAGTCAGGATCGCACATACACAATTGCCTCAATTGCATAGAATTTTTTGCAAAAGGAGGTAAAGAAGAGGGATTATTGCGCATGATAGCTTAAGGTGAAAACCCATTCGAAGTTCTACACATTGACCACTTTGGTCCGTTAGAAGCGGGTAGAGTCAAGAAACACATGTTCGTTATAATAGATGCCTTTACAAAATTCGTGAGATTATATACAACCAAGACCACAAATACCAAAGAGGCAATATTAGCCCTAAAATACTACTTTAGATCGTATAGCCGACCAAAATGTATTGTATCAGACAGGGGCACCTGTTTCACTTCAAATGAATTCAACATTTTTCTCGAAACAAATAATGTTAAACACATAAAACTTGCGGCGGGTTCCCCACAAGCAAATGGGCAAGTCGAACGAGTGTACAGAAGCATAGGACCAATGATAGCGAAACTGATAGATCCTGTTGAGTAAAACGTAGTCTCAGAATTCAGATGTGGTTTATTCAACGACTTAAAAGCGAGTGAGTAACATATATATAAGGAAGAAGGAAAGATGTGGAAATGCATAGGGTTGCCAGAGTTCAATTTCCAACACCCTCACTTATTGAAATATTGGTTACAAAAATATAAAGCAATTCATTTAATTACACGATTAAAAGAACTATGTTAAGATACATTTTTTTTAACTAATTTTCAATACAATTTTTAATACCCATCCCCTTGGCACACGTTAATATTGTTTTGCTTTATACCGCTTTAGTTAAGCAGTCAGCTACCATTTGTTCGGTGGGGATGTATTGAACTGCCACCGTCTTGGCATTGATGTGGTCGCGTATAAAGTGGTGGCGAACGTCAATATGCTTTGACCTTGCACGGAACGAGTCTGTACTCGCCAAAGCCAGAGCGGATTGGTTGTCGCACGCAATTTGGATTGGTTGGCCAATGGACGAATCGATCTCATTGCCAAGTTGTTGTATCCAGATAGCTTCTTGTACAGCCGAGGATAATTCCATGTACTCGGCCTCAGTACTGGAAAGCGCGACAGTTGGCTGCCTCTTGCTGCCCCAGGAAACAGCTCCACCGCACAGTGTAAAAACGTATCCAGTACAAGAACGCCTTTAGTCGATGTCAGAAGCCCAGTCTGCGTCCGAGAATCCAACAAGATCTTCAGAGCTGCTGTAGAGAAGTTTATAATTAACTGTCCCTTTTAGGTACCTGAATATGCGTTTAACAGCGGCCCAATGAGCTTTCCCATGTTTTGCATTGAACCGACTGACATCATTTACAGCGAAAGTGATGTCAGGTCTCGAACCTTGTGCTAAATATAACAGGCTTCCTACAGCTTCCTGGTAAGGCCCGCCAACTAATTCTTCGTCATAGTCACTCAGCGATAATTTGTGATTAACATCACTTGGCGTTGAAATTGGTTTGCAATTCTCCATCCCAAATCGTTTTAAATTTTCTGAGTATAATTTTGCTGATCCAAATAAATCCCTTCAGCGTCGTATGTTATATTAAAGCCAACACAAGTCTTAGCTACGTCCATGTACTTCACGTTAAATGTTCTGGTAAGTTGATCTTTTAATTTATTTCGGTCATTTGTATCACTCCAAAAAATTAGTATGTCATCAACATATACGGCGACTATTAGTTTCGCATAACGCCTAAAATAAACGCAAGGATCTGCTTTTGATTTAATTAAACCGAAGTCTTGCAACTTTTTGTCTAAGAGCATATTCCACTGCCGGCCACTCTGTTTCAGCCCATAAATGGCCTTTTTTAATTTGCAAATTTTACCGCTGTCGTCACCGCAACCATCAGGCAACTCCATAAATATATCTTCCGACAATTCGCTTTGCTGATAAGCAGTTACAGCATCTAACTGGTCAATTTTGAGGGACAGTTTAACTGATAAAGCGGTTAAAAAACGTATTGATGTGTATCGCACTACGGGGGAAAAAGTTTCATGGTAATCTATTCCAGGTTGTTGTGAACAGCCCTTTGCTACAAGGCGTGCTTTGTGGCGAAATACGTTGCCCTTCTCATCGCGCTTGGTATGAAATACCCACTTCGATTTAATTGATTTACGGTTGTCAGGGAGTTTGCATAACGTCCAGGTTTCGTTTTGCACATGAGAGTTCAACTCGGACTGCATAGCTAACTTCCAATATTTGCAATTGTCGCTGGACATTGCTTCACTTACAGTGATTGGATCGTCGTACATACCTTCTATAGCGGCAAAATGAGAAACATATCCCTGGCTTGCAAAATTGCGCGGAGCCATTGGTCTTGAGGATTTTCGTACACAATATCAACATCAGGAACGAACGTATCGTCTGTGCAGTCATCGAATGTATCCTCGCTAGCGACGCGTTGTTATCGTCACTGCTTTTGTGCGGATTTGCATTGTATTGAGGTTTCCAAAAACAGTATTGAAGCGAAGTCTTGATTTTATACAAAAACTTCAGACTTATTCCGCTAGGTATGTACTTGACAAAAAGCATGTATGTATATCTATATAATTACGGGTTAGTAAACACTTATATATACGTGCGGAGAGGATGACCGCTAGTTGACTACTTCGCCTAGCTGATGAATTTATTTTCTCCGTTTTCTCTCTCTTTTCGCTCTCTTCGCCCTCGATTGGCGACGGCTAACTCGGCCACAGAGAATGCCAGATTGTAGCGACAGCTTGCATAATAAATAACAGCGAATTGAACAGCGACAGCCAAGACAATAGTTCGATCGAGTTCGAACATGCCGCCCCCCATGCTGGGACCAGCATAGTCCTCCATTTGTTTTGGGCTTCACGCTGGCGAAGGGGAGAAAGTGTGCCAAGTGCACTATTTGGTTGCAAAATATGGAATGACTAATTTTGAGTATAAGTGGGTATCGGCAATGGGCACAGCTTAGAGATTGAGCGCTTATTCGTTCCATTTTTTGTGCGTACGGTGACTACGCGCACCAGCTTGTCTGATCCGGGATGGAGTTCAATAATTCGCGCCATAACCCACTCATTTGGTGGTAGTCGGTCATCTTTTACTATAACTAAATCATTCAGTTGTAAGTTTGGCTGTATTTTGCACCATTTTGGCCGCGTTTGCAGATGAGCTAACCAATCCGAGGTCCATTTTTGCGAAAAGTGTTGCAACATTCGTTGTGTTTGAATAAAGTGTTGACTAAGTGAAACGTTTGGTGCTGCTGCAGTAACGGGCGGTGACAGAAGCGGGCTCCCGATGTGAAAATGCCCGGGAGTGAGCACCATCAAATCATCTGGGTCCGAAGTCAGCAGACATAGTGGCCGAGAGTTAAGGCATGACTCAATGCGTACAAGAAGTGTTGATAGCACCTCAAAGGTAAGGCGGGTTCCATTCAGAACCCGCTTTAAGTGATACTTGACGCATTTCACATTGGCCTCCCACAGACCCCCAAAATTGGGGGAGTGAGGGGGGTTGAAATGCCATTGGATGCCGTGATTGGCGATATGTGGGACGACATCTTTCTTGATGTCTTCGAGAAGTTTCCGCTGGCTCACCTGTAACACCTTATCGGCCCCTACAAAATTAGTTCCGCAGTCGCTGTACATATCTTTGCACAGTCCTCGCCGGCCGATGAACCTTTGCAGTGCGAGGAGAAATGCTTCGGATGACATTCCGGTAACCGCCTCCAGGTGAACTGCTTTCGTAGCTAAGCAAATGAAAATTGCAACGTAGACCTTGTATGTGGTGTTCCCACGGTATCGCGACGATTTTAATTCAATAGCACCAGTGTAATCAACACCGGATGCTAGAAATGGGCGTTGCGGTGGATTGACGCGGTGAAAAGGCAAATATCCCATTAGCTGTGTGGCTGTAACTGGTTTGTTGCGAAAGCAGATGACACATTTACGCAATTGTTGCTTAACTGCGCGCCTGACGTTTACAATCCAAAATTGCTGTCGAATGTGAGAGATGGTTAGTTGGGGGCCACCATGCAACGTTGTTAGATGCGCGCTGCTGATGACTAAACCGGTGAAGTGATGACAACTCGGTAGTATAATTGGATGCCTTTGGGAATATGGTAATACCGCTCGTTGAATTCGACCGCGTAGACGAAGGACATCTTGATCATCCAGGAATGGTGCTAAGCTCGTGAGATTGCTATTGGTTGGCAGCGACCCCCTTTCCTGATTGCCTTTGACGTTTGCCATCGGTTGGGATCACCGACTATCCAATACAAGACAATTGTAGCGTCGGTCCAATAAAAAATGGGCAAATCGAAAACGTTAGCTTTAAACAACCGTTTGGTCCAGGTTGCCAATTCTGTCGCCAGTACGGCACCGCTGAGCNTTGCCTTTGACGTTTGCCATCGGTTGGGATCACCGACTATCCAATACAAGACAATTGTAGCGTCGGTCCAATAAAAAATGGGCAAATCGAAAACGTTAGCTTTAAACAACCGTTTGGTCCAGGTTGCCAATTCTGTCGCCAGTACGGCACCGCTGAGCTCGATGCGTGGTACTGTAAGAGGCTTCGTTGGTGTTACTCGGCTCTTGGCTATGAGCAAGGTAGTGTAGATTCTATCGAGGGACATTCCACACGCAAATAAACACTGGCTGCATAAGCTGCTGATGACCCGTCACAAAAGGCGTGAAGTTGTAGCGACTTGATATAAATTGGCTCATATTTATTTATTTATTTATTTAATTAGTCAAAAAACACAATGGTTCTTACTGACTACTCACTTAGTGCTAATACAAATCATTCCAAATTAGTGCGAAGATAAATTACGACTAAAATAAAAATTGCTACATTGGTTTATTAAATGCATGAGAGTTAAAAAGATGAATTCAACAGAAGAGTCAACTGATTCTTAGTATTTGAAAAATCAAACGAAATGGAATTCGAGATCTCATTAAATTCGCGAAGCGCCCGTGCAATTGGTGCATTGGATTCATAATTGGTTTTGAAAATCTTAAGGTAAAAAGGGTAAGAGCTTCGTAAAGTTCTTGACGGAATAAGAAAGTTTACGCGTTGCAACAGAAACTCACAATCAATGTTCCCTTGAATTAAATTAAAAACGAAAGACAGCGATAGTATCGACTTCCTGCGTCCAAGCGACTTTAAGTTTATTAAAAGCAGGCGGGAATTATAGGATGGAATAGGGTCCAAGAAATTTAAACATGTTAGAGCGAATTTCAGAAACACCTTTTGCACCCGTTCAATTCTTGCTATAGCAAATTGGTGATAAGGTCTCCAAATGAATGAAGCATATTCCAGCCTGGACCGAACAAACGCAGTAAACAATAATTTAATTGTGTAAGGATCTGAAAAGTTAGCACTATTTCGTCTCACAAAACCTAGAATCGAGTAGGACTTCGAGATAATAAAATTGATGTGACTTGAGAAAGAGAAATGTGAGTCAAAAATCACTCCAAGGTCTTTGATCTCATCCATAGATTGAAGGACATTATTAGAGATATTGTATGACGATTGCAGAGGATCACGAGATTTGGAGTACGTGACTTGACAACATTTTTTAATATTTAAAGATATAAAGGAATTAGTACACCAACAGGCAAGTTCATTAAGATCGGCCTTAAGCCTAGCTACATCGTTTAAATTTCTTATTGCGGCAAACATTTTCAAGTCATCTGCGTATAATAAGTGATTAGCAAATGAAAAGCAACTGCTTATATCATTTATAAATAGGACGAAAATTAGAGGACCTAGAACACTTCCTTGATGTACCCCTGAAGTGGCAATGAAAGGAGCAGAGGATTCGCCCCCAATTGTAACCAGACATAGCCTTTCACTTAGATATGATTCCAACCATTGAAGGAAAATCGAATGAAAACCAAAAGAGCCCAATTTACGTAAGAGAATTCTATGTGACACCGTGTCAAAAGCTTTGGAGAAATCTGTGTAGATGCAATCTACTTGAAGTCCGGACGAAAATGATTCAATGCAATATTCGCTGAAAACGGCCAGGTTGGAGACCGTGGACCTGCCTGATACAAAACCATGTTGGTTGGAAGAAATTAAACTTTTCGTAGCAAAGTATACTTTCTCTTTAATTATAGCTTCGAATAATTTGGAAGTAGTCGACAGCTTGGAAATTGGTCTATAGTTTCGTACATCATTCTTTTTGCCACTTTTAAAGATTGGTAGCCACCTGGGAATCTTAATGCAGTGCAGGGTAGATAAGGTGCCTAGAAACTGTTGCTATTGATCATTTATGTCTTCTGGAAGTTCTTCATCCCACCCGAGGGCCATCCTCTCTTGACGCGCGGTTTTAACCTTTTACATCCACACCGATTTGAGCAGAATTTTCGCCTTTATTATGACAGGTGCAATAAGTCCCTGTGGATCAAACAGCCGAGCAATAGTTGATAGCATAGCACGTTTTGTTGCTGAGAAATCAATTTCAAAGGTAAGTTTGAAAATGAACATGTCATGAATCGGTTGCCAGCACATGCCTAGTGTTTTGACGGTTTCGGTGCTGTTGAAGTTTAAACAGTTGCTTCTTGACATGTGCTCCGGAGGAATTCCATCCAGTAAACTGATCGAGTTGCTGCTCCACTTGCGTAAGTTCATACCAGCAGAGAGCAGAGCCGCAGTAACTTGCTCACGAATAGCTATAGCGCCTTCGATGGAGTCACTGCCGGATAGCACGTCTTCGACATAAAATTCGTGTTTGAGAACCTCTGCAGCTAGTGGGTGTGACTCCCTTTCATCTTCCGCGAGTTGATGAAGTACACGTATTGCGGTGTATGGGGCCGAGGCCGTTCCAAATGTGACCGTGGTGAGACAGTATTCTTGAATATTTCCTTCGCCATTCCGCCATATGATGCGCTGATATTACGAGTCTTCGGGGTGCATATCGATGCATCTATACATTTTTTGTATATCAGCAGTAAACGCGAATTTATGTTTTCGCCAATTCAAGATTACTGCAGATAAGTCGTTTTGCAGCGCCAGACCATTGCACAAAACATCATTAAAAGATCTGCCATTCGTTGTTTTACACGAAGCTTCGAAAATGATGCGTAGCTTAGTCGTTAAGCTCTCTTCTTTAAGCACCGCATGATGTGGCAAACCGCACGAGGTCACTGTTGGAGCATTCGCCGGAGTAAAGGCGCAGTGATCTCTCTCCGTTGTTGTAGCAGGCTTAATTTGATTTAATACGAAGTAGTCATGGATGCATTCGCTGTAAAGCTTGCGTAGTTTCTCGTCGCGTTGAAGTGTGTGCTCTAGGCAATAAAAGCGATTTAGTGCTGTTTGCTTAGACTTGCCAAGTGTTTGAGTTTGGTCAAACAAATGCTTTAATGGAAGCCTTACCAAGTACTTGCCATTGGGTTGACGCAAATGTGCTTGCAGAAAATGGTTTTCACACCAGTTTTCTTCGAGAGATAATGCTCGGTCCTCAGGTATTTGTTCATGTTCATAAAACCTTTGAACGAGAGATTCAAGTTGAAGCGTGGAGTGGTGACAGCGACTGCTCGTTGAGCGTTTGAAAACCGGGGTTACATTGCCGGTCAAGATCCACCCCAATTGTGTGCGTTGTACGATTGGTTCGACGAACCTTCCAATGCGAGTTTCAGGTAACATGATACGAACCATCATATCGGCTCCGAGGAGCAAGTCTATACGACGAGATTGGAAATAAGTGGGATCAGCGAGATGCAGGCCAAGTATGTGTGGCCACTGCTGCGCCACAATTTTCTCACTGGGCAGATGGATCGCGAGCGAATTTAGAACGTAGGCTACGTCTATTGCAGTGTGAAAATCAGGATTGATACATGACCGAATGCTAAAATTGACAGTGAAGTTACAATGTTTTGAGGGAGTGCCGCTCACCCCGGAGATTTCCGCTGAAGTTCGAGTGCGAGTCAAGCCAACGGATTGAGCGGCGTGTTCCGAGATTATCGTTGCTTCGGAACCATTGTCAATGAGAGCGCGTACAATTGCTGTTTGACCAGTGACATTATTCACTATAATTACCATTGCAGTTGCTAGAAGAATCTGTTGCGGTGGATTTTCTGTAGTTGTTGTTGCGACAAAAGTAGAATTTGCTGCTTTCGAGGCTGTTGTAATTGAAATAAATGTGCTTTCGCGTCGGAAAGGCTGAGCTGTGGGATTCAGCTGTGGTTGTGCTGCTGAAGCTGTTGGTGGAGCTGTTTTCAGAAAGTGCAACAAGGTGTGATGTCTTTGTCCACACTGAAGGCAATTTTTTGTGCTGGGACACTGAGCAGCTGTGTGCGAGTTGCTAAGGCAATTTAAACATAATTTGGTACGGTCAACAACAGCTTTGCGCTCAAAACAGTCCTTAGTCAGGAAAGCCGAGCAACGGCGCAATATATGAGCCCCACCACATAGGTAGCACGAACCTGCCCTTTTTGGTTGGGCCGTTACATGAAAGCTTTTGCTGACTGATTCGATTTCCAACTGCTGCGTTTCTCTGGTAAATGAGCTGACGCATCAATGTGACGCTGCCTGTTTTCGATTACGTTAATCGTAACTAAGCGATCATTCAAAAACGATTCAAGTGCGGTAAAGGTTGGAATGGAAGTGTCACTACCTAAATGATGTTCCCATGCCTGATGCGTTTCTTTAGGGAGCTGGATTGAGACATAGTAGGCAATCCAGTGGTCACAGTCGGAAATAGGAACTTTTAGTTTCTGGAACTCATTGATGCACACCCTGGCTGCGTTTAGAAGCGCTTTGATGCCATCCGACCGTTCTTTCGTGAGCGTAGAGATGCTGAACAGCTTGTTCATGTGGTGCATGAAAAGAAGTCGAGGGTTATTGTACCGCTTTACTATTAACTCCCAGGCTGTAGGATAGTTAGTTTCGGTAAGCTCCATTTGCTGCACATCGGGGTCTTTATCATCAGGTAGCGCCTTTTTCAGAAAATGGAACTTGTGGATCATGCTCAAGCTCGAGTTGTTATGAATTAAGCGAATATAGGCATCGTGGAAAGCTGGCCAGTCTGTGTACTTTCCAGTGAATGATGGTAGGGGTAATTTCGGTAGCTCAAGCGATGACGTTTGAATATGCCCTGCAGATGGGTTCGGAGGAGCGTCTTGTGTTGATTTAGGCTGTTGCTCTTCAAAGGCGTCTAACAGTGCAGCACGCATGTCGAAGTAGAGATCCTCGAATTTGGCTGCCACTGCATCTTTAAAATATGGTGAATCGCGACTCAGAGACGAGCAAACAAGGGTTTTGTGACCTTCAAAGAATTCTCTATGCAGCAACTCAACCTTATCTAGGCGGACTTGGCAATAGGCTTTCGTTTTCCTCGCATTAGAGTCCTTTTTGAAGTTCTTATAGATTTGCTTCAGACCGTCATAGTGAGCTGCTTGTAATGCCAAGAGTCCATCATCCGTTGCCGGTGGCGAAGCTGGCGGATTGTCTTTGGTAGGAGTCATTGCGCCTGTTCCCTAACCGATACCCTACTTACTCTCTAAGTATTGACGCAATGCAATGCCGTGATTTAAGCAACCTACAACTATAGCGCACTGGCACACTCACCTGTATGCTGTGTGTGTAGTATGGATTCAGCTTCGATGTCGTCTTTAAACGGAGTTTGGACTTCTTCTCGTGTAGGTGGACGACTTGTTGAATACAACTTGTTATTTTGGGGTTAGGTATTGTGACGTCCCCAATTAACACGCTGCCTCTTTACAAACGGCGGTGATGGCAATTTTTTTTCGCGCAAAAGCGTGTTTCCGCCAGCAAATATGAACGTTGTATCTCGGCTTCTAACTTAGAATTCCCCTCATGGGCCACCAATTTTATGTGCAGATTTGCATTGTATTGAGGTTTCCAAAAACAGTATTGAAGCGAAGTCTTGATTTTATTATATACAAAAACTTCAGACTTATTCCGCTAGGTATGTACTTGACAAAAAGCATGTATGTATATCTATATAATTACGGGTTAGTAAACACTTATATATACGTGCGGAGAGGATGACCGCTAGTTGACAACTTCGCCTAGCTGATGAATTTATTTTCTCCGTTTTCTCTCTCTTCGCTCTCTTCGCCCTCGATTTACATGGATGCCAGAACGTGGCGACGGCTAACTCGGCCACAGAGAATGTCAGATTGTGGCGACAGCTTGCATAATAAATAACAGCGAATTGAACAGCGACAGCCAAGGCAATAGTTCGATCGAGTTCGAACAGCTTTCAACTTTAGATTTTTCCAATGCCCTCACTGAAACAACATCTATTGGCGGAAGTGAAACAAGTTTCGGTTCTTTCTCCATAAAAACAACATCACGGCTTATTATAATTTTGCTTGTTTCTGGGTCAATGCACCGGCAAGTCGCTATAGCCAACAAATATTAGCTTGGTCAAGTCGCTATAGCCAACAAATATTAGCTTCCTGGCTTTTGAATCCCACTTACGTCTACGTTGTTTTGGGACGTGAACCATTACCGGAGATCCGAAAATTCTCATTTCATTTAAGCTAACATCACACCCTGTCCACAGCTTTTCTGGAATTTTCCCATTTAATGCAGCGCTAGGTGAACGGTTGACGACATATACCGCTGTATTTACAGCCTCTCCCCAATATGACTTGCATAAATCAGCATCAAACCACATGCATTTCGCACGCTCCACAATAGTGCGATTATATCGTTCGGCGACACCATTTTGCTGCGGTGTATAGACAGCAGATGTTTGATGTAATATACCAAACGATTTGCAAATAGACTCGAATATCTCACCAACAAATTCGGTTCCGTTATCTGTGTGTATTGCTTTGATACTTTTGCCACATTGGTTCTCTACATATCGCCTAAAGTTTTCAAAATGATCAGCGACTTCAGACTTATTTTTTAGGAAATAGACAAACACGTTGCGGGAGTAATCATCCACGAAGGAGAGAAAATAGCGCGCCCCTCCTATTGATGATGTCTCCATTGGACCGCATAAATCTAAGTGGACAAGCTGCAATAATTCACTAGTGCGCGTCTCCGTATGTTTAAATGGCATTCGTGACAATTTTCCTTTATAGCAGGCCTCGCAATTTGCTAAGTTTTTTCATCTCCACTAAACTCAATATTATTGTTGTTTTTTAGTTTGCATAAATCATTATAGTTTAAGTGGCCGAGGCGACGATTCCACGTCATTATACTCGCTTCTGCATTCACGAGCATACAAGAAGGCGATTGAACATTAAATTAAAAAACGCCTGCAGAGCCATTGGCTTCGGCCACAAGACCACCATTTCTGTCATATATTTTGCATTGCCCTTTGGTGAAGACGACTTTGTTCCCATTTTGAATCATTTGCGAAACTGACAATAAGTTAGAGGTCAGTTGGGGGACGAATAGCACTTGTTTCAATTCAATTTCAGTTTGCCCTACGTTTAGCTTAATGTTACCAATACCTTCAACACTTATTTTCTCATTATTTGCCGTTACTATTTCGCGTATTGACGACAAGTTCAAGCAGCTGAAATTATATTTATATGGTGTCATGTGCTTTGAAGCTCCACTGTCAATGTACCAGCAATAATTATCTTGTTCGGTTTTAGACGATGTGTGAGCGCTCAAAGCCACTTTCCGAACGGTATCGGCGCTTGATTTTTGTAGGGGCTTTTTATGCTCATTGCATTCTCTACTAAATGGCCTTTGCGCCCGCAATTATAGCATTTTAGTTTTTGTTTGTTAAGTTTTGGGTATTTTTTCTTCACACTTAAAAAGGCACTTCCACCATTTGAATTTTTTTCTAAGAGCTTCATTTTAATGTTTTCACCTGTTATTTTCGTTCCGCTACTTTCTATACCCATTATAAAGGGCTTAAAATCGTCACTTAAACCTGCCAACATTATCGCTCCTTGCCACTCGTCGCTTACATCAAAACCAATTCCAGACAGCTTATTTGCAGTGTTGACGAGCTCATTTACATAATTCGCCATTGATTCACAACTCTCGAGGCGTGCTGTGATCAGCTTTCGCAATAAACATATTTTTCGTGTGACTCCGGTGTCTTCGTATAAATTCTGAAATGTTTTCCAGATATCAGCTGCCGTCCTCTGATTTTGTATATGAACGTATATTGATTCGTCGACAGATAAAATAATTTTAGCTCGCGCTTTTCGCAATTTTTTCTCGTCGGTTTCTTTCACGGGATCAGTAACGCTGTTGTGCAGATCGTTCAATTCCGGAATGCTTTCCATGGCAAATTTCCATGTGTGGTAATTTTCACTACCGCGGAGTTTTTCTATCACGTGAGTGTCTGAACTAGCCATTTTTTATTTATTTATTTTTTTTTTAATTTACAACGAACGTATAAAACCGACGATTAACCTACTCGTTTTTAATCTACAATATATTTAAGCAACGTATGCTTTACCACGAATCTAATCCAATTAACAACTTCCCTGTCCTCATACAGTGCATTTTGTTAATGCCCCACGTCCACAGGTTTTTTGTTCTAATATGCTAAAGAACGTCCATATATACCATAACATATAATTTTTATTAATTGTTATATATCGCTTTAACTTGTTTTTGTTATTTTATTTTATGACTCATATGTGACTCATGGACGTAGGACGAAACAGTTTCTTTGCCACGTTCAATGAGTCACATGTGAACACATCGTGTAAAGTTGTTTTTGAGTTACATTTAGGGATGTTCCGATACAAGTAAAGACGAGTATGTACTCGATACTATTGTTTCGATTAAAACTACTTTTTTTACTCGAATCATTGTTTCGATATCTACTTGGTATTGGAGTGCAAGGTGGCAAAGTCTTTCTACCCACGGGTGGACCGGGGGCGGTCTGGGGAGCTCTTGAGACTAAGCAAGCTGCATCTCTCACTATTGGTGGGAGTGCTTACTGGCAGAGTTGGGCATTATTCGAATAAATTGTTATTTAGATAATTATTCGAATAAAGTTTTATCCGTAATATAATTATTCGCTGATAACTCATTCAAGAATAAATTATTCGTGAATAAATTGCTTTCGAATAATTTATTCGTTATTTTATTCGTTATTTTAAATAATGAATAAAAACCCATATTTAATACATTGAGCAACGATTTACTTTTGTTTCTATTGTCATTTTTTGTCAGTTAGTTGAATTCTGTTTACTGGAGCGGTTAGTAAAATTACTGGTATATATACATATATTGTGGTGTTTTATATTTTACAAATGAGTGATCCATTTAACGAAGTTATGGAGTTAGAGATAGAGGCTACGGGCAGTGATACTTCTCAGTCAAATCAAATTAGCTCCAACAATTTTCCGGGTTCTAGCGAAAGTGTGGTCAATGTATCGGGGAATGAAAATTGTGTAAAGATGACACTGACTTTGCTGGATGGCAAATTTTTTAAATTTGTCTCATCTTCCAATGGCAAATCCATTTTGATGGCATGTGTGAAGTGTGAGCCTGATGTTGTAAACATTAAAGGATCCCCAAATTCGTCGTCAAACTTTTTGAGCCATTTAAAGAGAAAACATGGCCAAGAAGCCGTTGAAGAATATCACGATTATGCAAAACAGGTGAGACTAAAAAGACACCGTACGGAAGCTGGAAGCGAGCATTCTACAACTTCAAAGTCAATCATGATTTCCCAACAAAACTTTGAACAGGATTTGGTGCAATTCTTCATCAATTCAATGATTCCCCTGAATGTAGTGGAGGACCCTTTTTTTATAGCCATGTTAAATAATTTGGGTTTGCAAAGCCATGCATTAAATGTAATCAGCCGTAGATCACTGAGCAGAAGAATTGAGGCTGAATATGCGCAACAAATGTCAGAGATCAAATTGACATTAGAATCCGTGCAATACATTTGTACTGTTGTTGATATATGGTCAAGTCGAAAAAGAAGTTTCCTTGGAGTAACTGCTCATTGGATTGATACGGATCTCGACCGCCAATGCAAGACACTAGCTTGCAGAAGGTTTCCTGGAATTCATAATTATAAACGTATTGCGATGATACTGGACGAAATTCAGGCTGATTTCAATGTTAGTCCCGCGAAGATAGTCGCCACAGTGACTGATAATGGTAGTAACTTCATCAAAGCATTCACAGAGTTTGGTGTATCAACTCCAAACTTGGAACTGAGAAATTTAGAAGAGGATGTTTCCGACGAAGAAGATGATGAAGTAATTGGTTCACATGATTTACCATTAGCGTGCCAGTTTAGGTGTGCTGCACATACGCTGAATTTGTGTGCTACCACAGATGCTAATCGAATTCTTAAAACAGGCAATTATACACCTCTATGTGCAATGCATCATAATGCCATAGGAAAATGTAACGTCTTGTGGAATTCTGCTGGACGTCCAAAAACAGCAGAGATCATCCAAAGTGTGTTAGGACATACACTTAGCAAACCTGGCGTTACAAGATGGAATAGCTTATATGACGCAATGAAGCAAATTTACTCTGTCAAAGACAAAAACATTCATTTGCATAGAGCCTTGTGCCTCACAAATTACATCAGCGACGGCGAATATGAATATATAAACGAATATATCACATGTTCTTCTCAAATAGCCGAGGCCTTAGATATATTGCAAGGCGACGCAGCCACGTGTTATGGGCTTTTGATACCATGTTTGATGGATTTACGCAAGAAACTGCAAAAGCTTGAGAGCACTCCGCTGAAGTACTGTCATGAGTTAGCAGTAGTGTACAGACAAAGCGTCGAATGAAGATTTGACGACTTCTTCAAACTGTTTTCGCCTAAAGGTCAACACGCTATAATTGCCACATTATCCTATCCAAGGTTCAAGAACAAATGGTTTACTTGCATTACACCACAGGAACAAAAAACAATTAAAACACTTTTCAAACATAAAATAGCAAGAGAAGTATCCAAAAATATGATTGTGAAAATGAAGTTGCTGCTGATCCAGATAACTCATTTTTTGACTTCGAATCAGACTCGGGAAGCGAAAGTAACTCACAAGTGCAGCAATCACCAAAAACCAGAGCTGACATGATATTATTACAGTATTTTGCCGCGTACTTTCAAAGTTTTAGATAAATACCCTGAAATCAAAACAATATTCCGAAAATATAATACACCATTGCCTTCATCAGCATCGGTAGAACGCGCTTTTCTTATGCCACCATGATAAACCTTCCAAAGTCAAGCAAACTGTCTGACAATATGTTTGAACAGAGAGTAGTCATGAAAACAAATATTAACTGCTTGAAGAAATAATAACGTACCTTACTGTTATTGTAGCTACTTGAAAGCAAATAAATTTCGATTTTATCACAAATGTTACTTGTTTTATTTTCATTTATTATTCGAATAACGAATAAAATAGTTTAATAGTTTAGTCATTATTAATGAATAAAAACTAATTTTTAACACATTGAGCCACCTTTTACTTTTATTTCTATTGGCAAGGATTGTGAGTTAGCTGAATTCTGTTTACTATTTTATCAAGAACACTAGCCCGTTCCCTCTGGTTTCGCGGCCCCCAATGCAAGAATAGCGTTGAAAACCAAATATGGGTAAAGTAAAAATTCTTAATTTGGGTTGAACAACTAAAGAGCAGAACCCTTCTCACACATATTTCTGCCAGAAAAATAGCGCTCTGATGCTATATGCAAGAAAAAATCCCATTCAATGTCATGAGCTTTACCGATGGTCCTATTTCCTACTTTTAAAATATCCAAGAGCTGGTTTCCTAGAGTCTTACTGCTGCAGCAATGACCGCCCGAGCAATTTCATCAAGCGGAGGTAGATGCAAGGTCGCATTTAGGGTGCATGACGACGTGAGACATCGTAAATTCGTATAATATAAACATAAAAAACAAAGTAGTCCAGACATATGGGGTTTCTAATGATTACGACTGCAGCACCATTATGAATTGCAACCTGATTGTACAATAAATAGGGATTTTCTAAATAACTCAACTGCAGCGCCACCTAGCGGGTCCATTTTTCGCATAAGTATTTTTCATCATGCAGGAAGAGCACATTTTTAATTTTAACGAAATCGGTTCATAAATACGGCTTTTATAAATAACTCGGCTCCATCGCCACCAAGGAGTTTTCTAGTAGCCTTTAATAGGCCTTTATGCGCAGGGAATAACCTCCGAAAATTTGACTTAAATCTATCCAGGGGTTTTAGTTAAATCGCAACAAGGAAAACGGTTATCATTTTATACATAAGTATATGTACATATCTATATACATATTCAAAGGTGGTTCACCGATGGCTCAAAAACCGACGAAGGGATAGGAGCAGGAATATTTGGCCCTAGGGCTAAGATCTCCATCCCTCTGGGTAACTACCCCAGTATATTTCAAGCGGAGGTTTACGCCATAAGTGTTTGTGTGGAAGTAATTCTGCAGAGACAAGCAAGACTGCAGCATATAGTTATCTGCAGCGACAGTCAGGCTGCATTAAAAGCCATATCCTCATGTGAGATTAAATGACGAGTGGTATGGGAATGTGTAGCGAGATTAAACACCCTGGGGGAAAACAACACACTACAACTGGTGTTGGTCCCGGGCCACAAAGGCATACAGGGAAACGAGGAGGCTGATAGACTAGCAAGAGAGGCCGCAGCCACTCAACCCATAGGCCCTGAACGCTTCCTTGCATTGGGGCCTCATACAAACAAGGAGGAGTTAAGAACAGCGAAGCCTAATAAAACCACTTTGGGAGAACACGCCTGGGCTAAGACAGGCGAAAGAACTTCTGGGAAGATATAATCCCAAAAGATCTAGGGAACTAATAACCTTTCCGAAGACTAAACTGAGATTCTTAACAGGAATGCTAACGGAGCACTGCAGACTGCGGGCCCATATGCATAACCTGGGGATCAGTGTAAGCGATTTGTGTCGGTACTGAGATGTGATACCAGAAACCCCAGGGTATCTCCTATTGGAATGCGATGCGGTTGCGAGAAGAAGGCTAACACACCTTGGAAGCATGTGGCCAGAGGCTACGCATATACACCCTGTACCTCCCTCGAAACTGCTCGGATATCGGAGCATTGGGATTGGACGATGTCTTGTGATGAGCTCCGAGGGCACAATAGACCTAAGGTCGTAGTGCATAGCCTCTAACAATCTATCTATCTATATACATAAATTACTTCTTTTATTATTATTTTATTCGTTATTCGAATAATTAATGAAGATAATAATTATTCGAATAACGAATAAAGTAATTTATCCGTCATTCGAATAATTTTTTTTTTGAATAAACTAAATTGTTTATTATTTACGAATAACAAGAAAAACAATTTATTCATCTGTTATTCGTTATTCGAATAAATTTTGCCCAACTCTGCTGACTGGTCACTGTGTGATTGGTAACCATGCTGTAAGGCTGAATGTTGTGGATAACCCTTACTGCGCCAGCTGCATGGAGGATAATGAGGTGGAATCATCTCAACATTTGCTGCTCTGGTGCCCCGCCTTTGCGAGCCTAAAGTTTAAGCACCTTGGGTCGCACTTTTTCACGCTCCCGATGAGCTCTCGGGAGTGGACATCAGTCGACTGAAGAGCTTCGTTGTGAGCACGGAGCGTTTCTCCGGCAAAAAGCCATAGGTGTCGTCCTTCCCCCATAGCTTCCTCCCTCTTTCCCCTCCCTGCGTCCCTTTTTACCTCCCCCTTCTGAGGGCATCACAACGGACAGCTTAGTCGAGTCCAAGTGTGCCTCCACATGCGGAGGCAGCCCGCTTACCTAACCCAACCTAACCTATATTTATTGTGCGCTTTTGTTTTTACTAAAAGATAACTTTCAGGAAAAAAATCTCGAAATTTTCTTTTATATATTTTTACGTTAGGTTTTTTTGCCGTACGTCCACGTATCATTTAAAAAAATATCGCGTACCGTTCACACCAAAAAATTTGTCCGAAATTGTACACAAAAATTAGTCACATGTGACTCATGAGCTTATTGAACTTGTGAACACGCTCTCGTGAGTCACATATGACTCATTGGACAGGGAAGTTGTTAAGCTTGGGACAACTGTTGAGTAAAACGCAGTCTCAGAATTCAGATGTGGTTTATTCAACGACTTAAAAGCGAGTGAGTAACATATACATAAGGAAGAAGGAAAGATGTGGAAATGCATAGGGTTGCCAGAGTTCAATTTCCAACAGATCCCGAAAGAGGGCTCTATTGGGGTACAGTTGTAGAAAATGTCGAATATGCCTTGAACAATACCAAACACCGGTCAATCAATGAGTATCCATCAAAAATGTTATTCGGTGTCGACCAAAAGGGAAAAGTTTTGGATGAATTGAAAGAAAATTTCATTGAGTCGGTAAACGGTAAAAACAAATTGATTTGAAAAAAATTGGGGAAACTGCCTGTCAAAACAACACAAAATCCCAGTTATGCCACCAAAATTATACAAACAAGCGACGAGCAACGTCAAAAACATTGCTTACGGGAGATTATGTAATGATAAAAACTTTGGACTCACACACAGGCCAAGTTCAAGGGACCTTACAAAATTTCCAAAATTTTACGTAACGGCAGATTTGCTTTAGAGGATGTTGATGGCTTTCAGAAATCAAGAATTCCTCATAAGGGCTTTTGGGCAGCGGCAAATATTCGGCCGTGATTAAGAAAAGAAAATCACATACCAATCCATAAATGTATAGCTGGCAACACTTACTCTTGCATGTTCTCATTATACTACCGCGCGCTGTATGTTCCTACCTATACTTTGAATGTGAATATATGCCGCTCTTCTTGTTCACATAAATAAGAGTCTCATTTTTATATTTATTTATTTGTCGATATTGTTTTTGCGTGTGTAAATATATATTTCGTGTACACAATGTAATATGCCTGCAAGCACCTAAGAGGTCTTCTACAAATTGTCTATGCTCATACAAATCGTAAAAATAGAGTGACATAACTATATAAATGTGTATGCTATACTATATTTAATGTTAAGAGATCAGGAGATCTGAAACATCAGGATGGCCGAATTGTAGTAGTAACTAGCATAATAGGTATTAATTGTAGTGATTGTAGCCTAATGTAACACCCTGTTTAAGTTTAGTCGCGTACTATTTCCCTTTGAGGCGCACAGCCGTTGTCTACCTTTTCCTCTCTGTTGCTTTTATGCGCTCTCAAGAAACCCTAGCTGTAAGTCCAACAATGTAATTAGTTACTCGTAAGCATAGGAGGATGGTTCCGTGCGCAGAAGTGGAAAACTTCTGACTGCCATTCACATGGGAGTGGCCAGAAGCGATTCTTGTGCGTACGGTTCAAATCGCAGCTCACAACGTCTGGATATTTATATCCACGTATCCTCTGGGTGGCAACCAAACACCCGTTTGGGAGCGAGCTAAAGTGAGAAGGCGTAAAACTTCGCGTGCGCTGGGTTTGGGTCCCGCCACGTTAAAACCCCGCCCAATGAAAAGAAGCAAACAGCCTCGGATGAGACCCCCTTTTTCTGATGACGACCACGGCAAACGTATAAAGGACTATGATTTAAGGGTATGCACCTGGAATATCCGGACCCTTAATGGGGAAGGTGCCTCTGCCCGGCTGGTTGATGTCCTCGGGAAGACAAAGGCTGACATCACCACCATCCAAGAAATGCGATGGACGGCGCAAGGAAAAATAAGTGTGAAGCCTTGCGACGTCTACTGCAGTTGCCACGTAAAGGAGCGCAAATTCGGTGTTGGATTCGTGGTAGGAGAGGGACTCCGTCGCCGAGTACTGGCGTTCACCCCGGTGGACGAACGTCTAGCCACAATCCGCATCAAAGCTAGATTCTTCAACATCTCGCTCATCTGCGCCCATGCCCCGACGGAAGAGAAGGATGAGGCGTCCAAGGATCTCTTCTATGAGCGCTTGGAACGTGCATATGAGCGCTGCCCCCGACACGATGTCAAAATCGTGCTTGGCGATTTTAATGCCAAGGTGGGCAAGGAAGGGATCTTTGGCGCCACTGTCGGAAAATTCAGCCTCTACGACGAAACGTCCGATAACGGACTGAGGCTGATCGACTTCGCCGGGGCCCGAACATCCACCAAGCTACATGGCTGTCTCCAGATCGAAAAACTAGAAACCAAATCGATCATGTTATGATAGACGAAAGGCATGCTTCAAGCGTTTTAGACGTACGTACACTCCGAGGGCCAA